CTCCTTCAGATCATTAGGATCTTGTATCAACTACAAATCTTCTGAATGGTTAGCTAGCCTTCCCAGGGGTGAGTTCCTCCAATAGGTATGGCCAACTAGTACCAACTTAATCTTAAAGCACTGATCCAATTACATCCTTACCTCCCACGGTTTTCTAAACCAAGTCCAAAATGACTTGGTTTTAACATTGGATTCTAAAATACATTTATATTTTCACCTCAGATTGTCCCAAGTGAACCCTACACTTTAACAAATCTAGCTTTATTTCTTTAAGTTTTCAGCATTTCCCACACTTCAACAGCTTTGATCAGTTTTCTCTCTCTCCTTGTACTGTTCCTTCTCATTTCAGAATATGGAAATTATGTCCGTATTTTGAGTTCCAGCTTCAAGGCTAAATCCTTCATGATCCCTTACCAGATTACCCTAAGGTAAAAGTAATTATCTTCTTCACATCAACAGAATTTTTCTGATTATGACTCAGATCATTGATCCCTAAGAGACGAGAGCACTAACATTTACTGAAAATCTACTGGAAGACCCAATTATTCCAAAATTACACCAAATTACACCAAAAGTAAATCACATTTCCTTCCTCTTAATATGCAGATGAGCGAAGAGCTTGAAATTTCACTAATAGCAATGCTAGAATTTAAACTCATCTTTCATTCCTCAGGGTTAACTCCTTTTCTAGTGCTCGCCACCACTCCACACAGCCACTTATCACTTACTATGTGCTAGAGTACTATGCTAAAAGGGGGAAAAGGGGCACAGAAATTAACAAATCAAAGGCAATCCCTGTCTCCACAGTATTCAATCTAGTTTAGGGAGCTCTCAGTTAAATGAAAGTTAGGTCCACCATCTTGTGTCCACCTTCTTTTGAATGAAAAACATCAACTTATATGAATTCTTCGTTTCCTTCTAAACTCCAACATTTCAGAAGAAAAGACGTCACGTTCCACTGTAGCTTGGCAATCCCAAAGCAGGGGAAACCTAATTTCGTACAGTGCCTATCACGTTAACAGTTTGTTGTTGAATACAAGTCAAGCTTGTACTATCTACGCTAGCTTTCGTTATCCCTCGAGAGCTAAAGACCTAACAAGTCATAGTCCTAAAGACAGCAACTTTTTAAAGGACCACATACATAACAAGCTTCAGGATCCCTGACAGTAGTTGACTACGCAGAATGAGAATACGAATCACTCTAAGGATATACTCAACACCTCGAAACAACCTTAAGGAAATGTTCTACCCTCCAAAGGAAAAAAAAGAAATGAGATAACTAGAAGACAGAACACTGAAACTGAGTATTCCCTTAGTTGATTCCCAGTGATCCAGGTAAAATAGCTCTGAAGCCCGCCCCGTTGCTCGGACGGACGCACCCAAGAGGACGACCACGTGCACGAGATTAGAGGTAAACGCGGTGGCCAGTCCCGCCGGGAGAGCTGAGACCCGGCTCCCGTAACACCCCGGCAATTCCAAAATCCTCAGACCTGTATTTCGGTAGGTAATCCCAGGGAAAGTGCGTGGAGCCGCGGCCGCAGGTGTAACCCGGGGGTAGTCCCCTTTACCTGGCAAACGGGGCCTGGGATACGGTTTCTCTCTTCATCCTCCGGCTCTTCTGCCACGTCGCGCTGCTTAGGAGGCAGCCTGGCATCTTTTTCGCTTCTTTTTGGCCTCTTCGCTTGAACTGCCAAACCTCCACGCCGCTTCCTCTTGGTCGCCGCCATCTTGCCTCGCCGCCTTCGCTCTTGGCCTTCCTTCCGGTTCAGCTACTCGCTCCCCTTTCCGAACTCTATGGTACCGCGCGCTCGGCTCAGTGGTCCTCCAGCTCTATGGTGCCTCCTTCCGACCTTCGCGGTACTGCACGCTCGGCTCTCTAGGCCTCCTTTAGCTCTATGGTGACGGTGGCTGAAGTGGCCGGCCGATCTGAAAAGAGTGGCGGGAGTTGCTTGCTCCACTTCCTCCCGAGTTCGTCCGGAGCTGCCCCTGGGGAAGACTTCGGTGACCTGGCTGGGAAGGGTTCGCAGGAGTGCGGATCTCACCGCAAAGGTAGCGTTTCTGCGCCTTGGGATCCCGGGATCAGTAAACAGGTGCTGCCCTGCGGCGGGCTGGTGAACCCGGTTGTCTGGGACTCAAGGTGGATCTTTGGAGGAATCGGGGCCCGCTCTCCCCCCGTTCCGCCGCCCCCCCCTCATTGCGTGTTCTGTTAAAGGAAAGTTTGGGGGCGCGCCAGAACCGACTCTGTGGGAAAACTGGCCACAAGTAGAACTAAAGTGTTAGTTGTCTATTTCCATTATTCACAACTTTTCATGTGTTTCTGCCCCCTTACAAAAGAGGAAGCCATAGCTTAGAGAAGTAATTTCCCCCAAAGGGACAAAGACAGTTAAGTTGCAGCCCTTGGTGGGCCAAGTTCAATGGCCAGGCCTCTTCCACGTCGCCTCAGCGCAGGTTGAGATCGCGGACCCCTTCGCCGGCATTGATGGGGAGTTTCATTGCCGAATCTCATCAGGTGTATCGTGATCCGCGGGAGCAAGTGTTGGCACCGGGAGCATCCCTCGGGCCCAGCTGTGCAGGGGACGATGCCCCTCCTAAACCAGCAGATCCAAGATGAGAATGACTACAGCTTGACGGCCAGCCTTGACAACGTTAGGAATCTCTCCACTATCTTAAAGGCGATTCATTTCCAAGAACACGCCACGTGTTTTGCTACCAAAAATGGAATCAAGGTTACAGTGGAAAATGCAAAGTGTGTGCAAGCCAATGCTTTTATTCAGGTATGGAAGTAGGCATCTTTAAGTCTGTGACATATGGTATTCCTTACCCAGTTTAATTTCAAAGGTCTTAATAGACATTTAAGTTAGAGAACAATATCATTATTTGAATTTTTTTTCTTTCCTGGTAATAGATTCTTTACCCATCTTGTTGTTACAGAGATAATGGTTACAAATAATGATGTCTAAAATTTAAGCTAAACTGTAGGCCAGGCCCCCTTCTGAGTGTTTTATATGTTTAACCCATGTAACCCTCATAATATGAGTTAGGCTCTGTTATTATTCCCATTTTACATAAGTGGAAACTGAGGCACAGTTTAAGTGATTTGCCAAAAGCCGCACCACAGCTTGCAAGTGGCTGAGTTGGGATGAGAACCCAGAACATTTGTTTCTAGCGTATACTCTTTACCATTACCTCCCTATTAAATTTTTTTCCCTTTTATTGGTTATAATATAATCTGTTATTCTTACAAAGTAATATTTGTGTGGCTCCGATTTCAGATTTAATTCAGTATTTTTTCTGAACACCTAAGTGCACAGTACGACCTCAGGGATAAATAAGACATGGTTCCTGTCCTCAAAAGAAATTGAAAACTAATACCGCTCATGCATTATTAAATTGTTTGGTTATTTTCCAAATGACCTTAGCTGTACTGATGGCCACAAAGAGGAGACAGGGAAGAGTCACCTGAGGGATCATTTAGATTCAAGAAGTTACATGAAGGACCCTTCATAAAGTTTTGCATGGGACCTAAATCACTGTTACACCTTTAATTATTGAGTAGTGTTGATAGTTGAAAAAGCTTAAGATGTTTTGATTGGTAATCAGAAATGATTTTAATGAGATCAGCACAATATTTTTTTTAAAACATGTAAGTGAAATCTAGAACCTTATGTATGAGTTTTCATTCTTTAACATATATATTTTTTCATGTTTACTTTTTTCATAGGCTGGAATATTTCAAGAGTTTAAAGTTCAGGAAGAGCCTGTTACTTTTCGAATTAATTTAACTGTCCTTTTAGATTGCTTATCTATTTTTGGATCAAGTTCTATGCCAGGTGAACCATTTTATTAACATTATAATGACATAAAAGTATACAGAATGGTCAGAAAAATACAGGAAAAGTAATTAAAACGTAAGTGATATAAACATTTCTTTAGAAAATGAATTGCCAATTCACTTTTCATTGGTCACAATCATGGATTGTGACTTTTTACAATATTATAGAAAGTGTACTTAAGGGTCTTTTCATATTTGCAAAAGTACTTACATTTATCTTTAAATTTACAAAGCTTTTAGGATTCTAAATTTGAACTGACCAAAAGAAGACTTCGTTTTAAATATCTTTAACAAGGTGAAATATGTATTAATTGCTTCTTTTCCCTAATTTGTCCAGAATTACACAGTTGGCGGCAGAGAAAAATAGAAACCAATTCTCCTGACTCCCAGTTTACCGCATTCATAATTTGTTTGCTGTTTTTTTCCATTAAGCCCTATTTATAAATTATATCTATTTTATTAGATGCTTTCTTTTACAATATTTGTATATTTTATTTGTTTAGGGGTTTTTCAGGAATAGTGAATTCAGTTGCTATGGATATAAAACTACAAGAAATTTCCAGAAGAATGATTTTATTTCATAGGGAAAATTCATTTATTGTTCCCTAAAAAATATATTTTAATTTTGTACTGACAGTTCCATTATTAATTATACATCTTCTAATGCAGCTGGTTTTTCATAAAAGCATCTGCCTTCCCCCATCCCTCACTGTGGCTGTCTATCCTACAGTGAGGGAAAAGAGCTAGAATGTCCTGTCATATTCCTCTCCCTCTCAAGTGATTTGCAGTATTAAATCCCTAACCACCATTAACCATCCTCTCTTTTTCTTCCAATTTAAACTTAAAACTTGGAGAAATGTAAAGGATATCTCCCTATAGAAAAGGTTGGAAGGATCCTTATCATAGTGACTACAGACAATATCAAAGCAATCCACTGTTGCACAAATTGAATGTTCAAGAAATAGCATAAACTATTCTACAACAAGTCTTACTTGCAGTATTGGACCAAGTAGATGATCCATCTTGGAGAGGAGCGAGGGAGGGAGGGGGAGAGAGAGGGAGAGGGAGGGAGAGAAAGAGAGGGAGGGAGGGAGGGAGGGGGAGGGAGAGAGAGAGAGAGAGAAGAATGTGTACAAAATCAGTAAGGTATTTCTGAAGTGTTTTGGCAAGCTGGGAAATGATTTCAGAGAGTTAATTACATTTTGTTCTAGTTCCCAATTTTCTTGCAGTTATTTTTGGAATTGTCTACATTCAACTGTCATCAGGGAAGATGTGATCTTTCTTATAGATAGATAGATAGATAGATAGATGCTAGAAATTGGGCAGAATAAAGTATTCTTGAGGCGTTTTATGTATCATTTGAGGAAAAGCTGAACCCAGAGTTAGAAAGCTAAGCCCAAGATATGATTTATTTCCGTTGCAGGAACGTTAACTGCGCTTCAAATGTGTTACCAAGGTTATGGTTACCCTCTGATGCTATTTCTTGAAGAAGGAGGCGTGGTGACTGTCTGCAAAATCAATACGCAGGAACCTGAGGAAACCCTGGATTTTGATTTCTGCAGCACCAATGTTATTAATAAAATTATTCTGCAGTCAGAGGGGCTCCGTGAAGCATTTTCCGAATTGGATATGACAAGTGAGGTCCTACAGATCACCATGTCTCCTGACAAGCCTTACTTCAGGTACTTGAAAGCAGTGCCATTATAGCTAATGTGGTTTACACTAGCTCCCTACTTACACATTTGCTTAGGATGCAGAACTTTTATTATCCAGGTTCCTAGAGTTTTCAGAACTTTGGAGACCTCACACTTTCATTGATCAGGACACTTAAGACCCAGGAAAACTAACTCGCTATTTAAAGCTTCATAGTTAGTGTTGGTTTTTCTTTCAAGTTAGTACAGGATGCAAAAGGAAGCAGATGTTTTCTATACACAGTTCATTCACTGAGTGTCTATTGATCGCCTACTGTTGCATTTCTACCTTAGTAAGCATTATAGGAAGGAACAGCTTGAAATCAAGGTAAAGAGAAAATATGTTAAACAGCACAGAAGGAACAAAACCACATGACATTAAGTACCAAGATAATACATATAGAAACTTAGGGAACCGACACATGAATACTTAGGGAGGACTGGTCCAGGGAGGGCAATTTTCAGCGGGAAGACAATGTCAGAAACTATCAAGCTGCTCCTGCTATTTTGACCCCCAAAATTATGAAATGGCAAGTCTCTTTTTGGGATTAGAATCAATTTAAGGAGAGAATTTAAATATTCTCTTCTGAAATATTTCAGAATATTAATGAGTGAAGGATTTTTTAATATCTACTTTAGGCCCTTTTCATGGCATTAGCCAGTTAAAAATTGGGCTCAAGTTCTGTCAAAATGTTAACCAGAATGGCAATCAGTGGAACGCTACTTAAGCAGCGATATGAATTAAAATTCCAGACACTTCAACAGTATTTCAGAGGACCCCCACCTAAATGATCTCTCTCAGCATGGGTAACTAGATGGTTCATGGTTATCTTTCATCTCCAGTTTGGGAAATGATCTGGTGGTAGAAAACTGGGAGTTGACATTTTTTGTTAAATTTGAGGTGCCTGTGACACCAGAAAGTAGTTGGATACATAGAGATAGAGCTCAGGAGATCACTGTAGAATGGACTAGTCTCATCATGGCTGGGCGTGGACTAGATGGCTCAGAGAAAGAGGTTATGTTAGAAGAGAGGAAAAAGATAGATCCTGGGGAAAACCAGCACCGAGGTCTTCTATCACTGTGCTCACATAGTACTTACCAGTGTGCTAACCCCATAGCAAATGGTCAGTATGTTCTTGCGGATTATAAATCATCTACACATGAACTGCTGATGTTACCAAGCAAGGAAAACTTCATAGAACAGCCTGAAGAGCTACCTAAGATCAGGAAAGCCATAATTGCTTGGCGTGGCAGTAAAGGTAGGGATATAGATAAGGCAGCTGATATAGATAAGGCTGTTCCATCACAGCTCACTCGCTGTCCTCTGTTATATAATTCTGATTTAAGGATGAGGAAAGATCAATATCAGAGTAAGATTAAGGTAATGAAATTGAGGCAAAAACCTCTGGATTCCTCTTAGAACTGATATTTCTCAAAGCTGTGTATTGGTTGCTAGTTTCCTTGTATCCCCACAGCATCCTGTGGGAGTCTATTATGGTGATTGTTAAAGTGTATTGTCAATGTTTGTTTACATATCTGTTTCACTCTCTAGAATGAGTTTCCTAAGGAAGTGTTTTCTTTATTTGGATGCTAATGTGGCTTATTGTTGGACCAATGAACAAATGACTTGCTCATTTTCTACTATAGGTTGTCTACTTTTGGGAATGCAGGAAGCTCCCACCTTGACTATCCCAAAGATTCTGATTTGATGGAATCATTTAATTGTACTCAAAACCAGGTCAACAGGTCAGTTCTTAATAGAGCAGTTGCCATTGGTGATGGTGAGGTTAAATACCAAGTTTCTATTAAATAAAATTTTTAAAACTTTCGATGAAAGTGTAACATTTAAAAAAATATGAACAGTAGGGTTTGGGTTTACTTGGGGATTTTGGATTGTAATAGTAGATGAATTTTTTTTTTTAATGAAGAGAAAATATTAGCAAATTTGGACAAGTATTGGAATTTATTTTTACATTTGCTACTTGGTAGTTCTTTGCTAATTTTTGTCCTTAGTTATAAGCACTGCTTTAAGGTCTCCAAATAACAGCTTTTTATTTACTTTTCTACAGGTACAAGATTTCTTTACTGAAACCCTCTACAAAGGCGTTAGTCCTGTCTTGTAAGGTATCTATTCGGACAGATAACCGAGGATTCCTGTCATTACAGTATATGATTAGAAATGACGATGGACAGATATGCTTTGTGGAATATTACTGCTGCCCTGACGAAGTTCCTGAACCTGACTCTTAAGTATGACAGTACATTGTGCCATTTACGTAGACATTCATGATAGGTCACATTCTCATTCTGGGTATAGTACTCTTCATGATTTACTGGATTTTCTCAAGGGAGGGAACGTGGAGGAGACAGGCGCAAGATCCCTGTATCCCAATAGTTGCTGTATATTTTGTCAGTAAGTGCTTTCATGGAGTCAGATTATCCAGTATTGGACTATCTGTGGTTCCATCTTTTGAACTCATCAGAATCATTATGAACCAAGATGAATATATTAATTCTATTCTATTTAAGTAGAACATTTCAAGAGTCTAAAAATTCAAAGTTTGATGAAGCCATATCTGAAATGGTCTTTTATTTATTTACTGTCAGAAAAAGGAAAGGCATATGGGCATTACTTACTAGTTTGAATTCTAGAGAATATATCTTAAAGCAGTGATTCTTAAAGTGTTGTGCCCAGATCGAGCGCATCAGCATCACCTGGAAACTTGTCAGAAACTCTGGAAGTGGGCCAGCAAAATAGCAATGAACTGATTGCTTTTACCTGTGGTTTCTTCTGCTGAAGTTTAGGCATCGCTAAACAAGTCTAAATAATTATATGACTTATTTTTAAAGTATACATTTTGAAGAAATCTCTGAACAAGATAGAAAACAGTCTTTAGAGTTACAGATTTTCTTCTTCTCAGAACTGTTCAGCGCAGTGCATACTTCAGTAAGCACTTGTTAGATGCCTTCTAGTTCCCTATGAGTTTCTCAACCAAACCAAGGTGTAGAAAGCCAGTTATTCAGTGATTTCTCATTTCTTGGGTAATTTTCAATGAAATAATTTTGTGGTGTGTCAGTATTTAGTAAAATATAATACTAAAATTATCTGACTTGCTTTCTAATAGAAAAAATATATAACTAAAATGAAGTTTCTGTACCAAATGACAACAGCTCCGTGTCTCTAGGTGGGCAGGCACCATTGGCCTTTTGGGTGGCATAGTTCTTTATGGGAAAACTCTGTCTCCCATTCCAGGATTCATGTAGCCTCCCTGTCCCTAATACTAGTCCTTGTGATCACCCCCTCCCCCAAATAAATAGTGCCCCCTACTACTGATGGTTGGGAACCATTGAATGATATTCACCAAAATCTGAGGATGTGTTTGGAATGTGCTACCATGAAACAGGCCACGTAGTATTGGAGGAAAGTGGTTTGGAGAGTAAAGCACTTCAGAGACAGGCTCCCCTAGAACTGCTGTAAGCTTTTCTCCCAGGCACGTGAGCAATTCTGTGTATCTAGCCCAGGGTGAGTACCCCATAACGAATAAGTCTCCCAAGCAATCTCAGGATGCCCAGCTGGTACAAAAGAAGTTGGGAGTTTTGTATAGTATGTGTTTGAGAAAGAAATGAATGAATCTATTAAATGTTATCCAAATATTTTTGTTTAGATAAAACAACAAGAACAGCAAATCTAAAACATAATTATGAAAATATTTCATCAGTCAACATTTCAAAGACTACAGTTTTCTTTTAAAATTAAAATAGTGCAGTTAGTTTTGGTTTTTGTTTACTGGTGTGTCCAGTACCTAGAATAGTGCCTAGCATATAGTAGGCGTTCAATAAATATTAGATGAAAACCTCCACTTTCAGATTATCTTTTAGCATCCTATTACCCACTATTAAATTCCAGTTATTTAGCTATAAATTTATTTTGCTCTAATGTATTTTTTAAAAGTTAACCTATGAAGAATTTAAAGTATACGAGGTATGATCAAGCAATATGGTGAATGTTTAAATAAAAATTATCACAGAAATTGCCATATACCAGAAGCGATGTGTGACACGGAGTGTTGTCAGAATGGAGGATGATTTATGGCACACTATAAAGCACACCTTGTCTCAACTATAGCTCACACCCACCCGATTGACTGCACCAGACAAGTTGAAACTTTTCACACACTCTTACTAAGGTTCTGTGCACCACTTCCCATATTGAAGGTCCCTGCCTTTCCATTGGATGGCACTTGGCAGCAGCATTCACCGTATTTTGTGATCATGATAGAAAGGCTCCATGTCACACATCGCTTCTGATACAGCAATTTCTGTCAAATAAAAATATTACGGTGTGTCCTCATCCACCTTATTCACTGCATCTGGCACCGTGCGACTTCTGACTCTTCCCCAAAGTCAAAATGATTCAGGACATCGAGGCAGCCATGACAGCACAACTAAAGACACTCACGAAAGAGGACTTCCAGAACCACTTCAGAAAGTGGCAGGAACAATGGGATAAGTGTGTTCAAAGTGAGGGGGAGTATTCTGAGGGGAATTAATGGCAATGTGTCTTTTACTGTAATAATTTTTTTTTAATTTAAACATTCACCATATTTTTTTATCACAGCTATATATTGATTTAATAAAGACTGACATTTTTGCACATTTAAGACTATCATTTTAGTTGCATATAGCTCTATTTAGAAGTCAGAAGCTGATGAATGCAATTCTTCCTAAACCACCCTAGCATCAAGGTACTGATTTAATAAAGAATTTCTTATTTATGTGTATTCTCTAGTTGATTAGGAATTGACTAGTTTAACTTTGTTGTAGTTCCTATGAAAAACCACTAGGGGGAGGGCTTCCTCAGACAGCAGGAAACTTGGTAACTACAAATTTGCACATTGCATATAAAAGAATATAATATTATTAAGACCTTTAGTTTTGCCCTTTTGAAGTTTATATCATTTTCTTTTCAGTAAAACTGTGCTTAACATGAATGGATAAGTAATCTTTCCATTTTTAGTTTGTTTATTGCCTATTTTATGATGCTCTGCTTCCACCTAGAACTGATGAAATGATTCAAAATAATAAAAAATGATTTGTTGAATTCAACTTTTTAAATAAAAATGTCTTGTAATACAATAATTTTATAAGAAACCACAGAAGTTCTGTGGCGTTATCAAATAGTCCTAGTAAGGATTATAGTTGCTGAAAGGGCATCATGTGACATTCCCAACAGTTTAGGGTGGGGAATTTTTCAGTACAATGTAGGCTCCCTACTCTCCTGCCCTGTTTTCACACTGTCTGTTCCTTTTACCCACTGAAACAAAATCCTTTGGATCCTGAGAAACAAAATTGTGTAGTTATTTTTTTCTTTTCCCAATTATATATTAGAAATAGTGTTTTTATACATGTCAGGATACATGCACCCCAGCAGTAGTTGGCAGCTCTGACATGGATTTCCCAGTCCAAGAGTGAACAGCTAGTGCTCTAATCAGAAATGCCACAGGTGTCGCACCGAGTGGCGCGATGGTTAAGAACTGGCTTGGGACGCCAGAGGACCCCAGTTCGGATCCCACATATGAGGGCCAGTGACACTGCCCTCCACAGCTAAGATGCTGAACAACAGCTCAACCTGGAGCTGGGC